CCAATTGTGAACTCTTGTGTCTATGTCCCTTCTCTGGAACATCCCATCTTTGTCCAACTTGTCTATTCTGCGCAGTATTTTATATGTCGTTATCATGTCTCCCCTGACCCTCCGGTCCTCCAGTGTCGTCAGGCCGATTTCCCTCAACCTTTCTTCGTAGGACAATCCCCGTAGCTCTGGGACTAGAATTGTTGCAAACCTTTGCACTTTCTCTAATTTCTTGACGTGCTTGACTAGCACGTCAAGGAAGAACATTACTGGCAGACACACACCAACAAACACATAAAGTGGACATGGAACAGTAACTTGGAGCGCAGGTCAGGACCCTCCTGGCTGAGTGCAGCACCACCACCTTTCCCTCTTGATAAGCGAAAGTGCCCCCCTGTGGCCCTGTACCCCATACTTGGCACTCGACATATTTGGTATAATCACCCAAGATTGAGCCGTACAAAGGCCCTCCATTTAAATCCACTTTATCTGTTGCAAGGATAGGAAACACGACCTTTACAAACTCCCCACGCTAACTGTTATAAATGCCAAGGGCCCCACCATCACCTTCTGCTGTAGTTAATGGCTCCTAAACTGGGTCTTTCACATTAGTGGGAAAAGTACGTTAAAATATCTTGCTATTGTACTACTGAGGGCGTCACTCAGTGACAGCTAAAACCAAACCTATTGTAGGTCTTTGTATGTGCCTTAATTATGGAGTTTAGATCTATCGCACTTAATCTATACATTACTGTATGATCACATAAAATACAGACAGGTAATACAGTAAATCAATGCCTAGGGCAAACCTTGCCTAATTTTGGTATGTTACACTTTGATAGCAAGCAAGAATGGAAGTGCTGCCAAGTTTAATGTATGGCTAAGTAAGGTGGCTAAGAAAACATTGGCTCTCTTCGCCATGGAAAACAGTGAAAAATTGTTAGGCAAGTTTTTTATACTGCTTTTTTTTTTTTTTATCTTTTACGAAAAGTGACATTGCAAGAGTCCAAAATGTTAAAATTTATGTTAGAATAAAGTTATTTAATTTACTTAACACATTTAAGAATTTGCATAACAATATTTCGCTGTTTCCTGGGGAGGGAAACAGGTAGGAATTTGTAGTTCTGTTGATTCTAGTGGTTCAGGGTTTGTATATACTGTAGCTTGTACGTGCAGTGTTCTTAGTCCACTTTAAGCTAATTGTGGCAATGTAATTATTATCCAGGTCTGAGGCCGGGACCTGGGCACAATGATCCTCCAAACTATTAACATATATGACCAGTTTAATATGAAAATTAGATTTGATCACCCACATCTAGAGAAATGAGATTATATATATATATATATATATATATATATATATATATATATATATATATATATATATATATATATATATATATAATTATATATTTTCTTTCTTTCAACACACCGGCCGTATCCCACCGAGGCGGGGTGGCCCAAAAGGAAAAACGAAAGTTTCTCCTTTTACATTTAGTAATATATACAGGAGAAGAGGTTACTAGCCCCTTGCTCCCGGCATTTTAGTCGCCTCTTACAACACGCATGGCTTACGGAGGAAGAATTCTGTTCCACTTCCCCATGGAGAATAATTATATATATATATATATATATATATATATATATATATATATATATATATATATATATATATATATATGCAAAAACAACCACTCTGAAAAAAATAGAGAAATTCCAAGCGCTTTCGTGACTACTCACATTATCATAGTTCCTTGATAATGTGAGTAGTCACGAAAGCGCTTGGAATTTCTCTATTTTTTCAGAGTGGTTGTTTTGCATATTCCGAAATCACCTGTTTACTGTGATCTTATTGCATATATATATATATATATATATATATATATATATATATATATATATATATATATATATATATATATATATATATATATATATATATATAATGTCGTGCAGAATAGGTAAAATTGGTCATTTAACAAGAACTCATTAAGTCCTTTCTAAAAAAAAAATTCTCTTATATGTTTAAAGATATATTTTTTTCCTTTACATTAACGTAAACATTAATAATTTTGTACCAAAAGAAGCATAGAAAACTTACTTAACCTTATTATAACAAGCGCAATTCAATTTAGCCTAATCCAGCTAAATATATTTTAGATAAGTTTACAATAGTTTAATAATAAACAAACACGATGAAATATATTTTTTTCGTTAGGTTGAGAATTATTTTTGCGAAATTACTGCATACACAAATTTTCGCTTGTCTTATTCAGCAAGAAGAGCGTTGATATTTAAGCCAAAATAGCAAGTTTTACTTATTCGGCACGACATTATATATATATATATATATATATATATATATATATATATATATATATATATATATATACACCTTCATACGGTAGTGACTGAAGAAACTGTCAATAATTGACTGGCAAACACTTCATATTATCTCACTGTTAATTAATTTAATAATTCATGTTAAGTGCTAAACCCAAATGGGTCATTCAGCTCAAGACGTGGTGGAGGCTTGATCCTCCGTCTGCGAGGAGGGAAACAGTTAGGCTTCTTATTTGTCCTGTTAGATCGTCCTCTTGTTAAATGAAGGAACGAGGGTGCCCTTGTTTGTGCCTTAATATATAAAAAAAATATTTTATTACAGAAGTAATATATAACAGTAATAAAGTGAAGTTCACTTGGCTGTTAAATTTTGTCATTATTTCCTGAAACTCCCGATTGTTTGTGATAATTACTTGGTTAATTAATATTCTATAATTGAAGTCTTTCTGAAAGTTACTTAATAATCTTTAACTCAGGATCCCATAACTCAATCTTGTTTATTAAATTTACTTAATCAGTATTTTACAACTAACGTCAGGATAAAACTGTCTTCTGGAGTAACTCCAAACTTAAAAAAAAAAAACTGAACAGAAATTCTTTTATCATTTATTTCTTGGTCTTTCAAAAACTTTTTAGTAAAATGCGCCTTTGAAGTTTAAAGTTTAAATTTTAAGTAATATAAATTTTGGGTTTATTGCTTATGAGATTTCTAATACTTGTTGTGGGGAAGGTGACGAGCGGCGGCTCCTCCAAATAACCATCTTCAAGAAATACCGGAGATGATGGAAGGTTGAGGTCACCATGATCATTGTTTCTTGGTGCTTCAGGTCAGGTCAGGAAGGTCACGGGAGGTTCTCAATAGGTCACTCCTCTAGACAAATGAACAGATATGTGGTACGAAATAACACAAATATTTTCTCTCTAGCTAGAGATCCTCTTCGGGATAATTCGCGAATTTTTAAAATAAGTTTGTGTTATCAGTCGTAAATATCTTACAGGTTTAACGCTTTTATTGCTCAAGTTTTTTTTATTTAATATTTACATGGTGGCTGACAGGTAGGTTCGCTGGGTGGACCAAGGCAGGGTCCACCCGGTCCAAGTGCACCCGGCCCATGTGGTCCCGGGCCCTGGTGGACCATGGCTCAGGTGGACCACAGCTCTGGACCACGGCTCTGGTGGACCCCAGCACTAGTGTACCCCGCGCCAGATAGACCACGGCTCTGGTGGACCCCAGCACCAGTGAACCCTGAGCCTGGTGGATCACGGCCCTGGTGGGCCACGTCCCTAGTGGACCCCGGCACTAGTGTACCACGGTCCTGGTGGAACATGGGCTTGGTGGACTACGGTCCTGGTGGACCACGGGCCTGGTGGAGACCTGGCCTCGTGGACCACGGTCCTGGTGACCACGGGCCTGGTGGACCTGGGCCCTGGTGCACCCTGGGCCTGGTGGACTACGGTCCTGGTGGACCAAGGGTTTAGTGGACCAAGGGTTTAGTGGACCACGGTCCTGGTGGATCAAGGGCCTGTTGAACTACGGTCCTGGTGGATCAAGGGCCTGGTGGACTACGGTCCTAGTGGACCAAGGGCCTGGTGGACTACGGTCCTGGTGGACCAAGGGCCTGGTGGACTATGGTCCTGGTGGACCAAGGGTTTAGTGGGCCACGGTCCTGGTGGATCAAGGGCCTGGTGGACCAAGGGTTTAGTGGACCACGGTCCTGGTGGACCAAGGGCCTGGTGGACTAAGGTCCTGGTGAACCAAGGGCTTGGTGGACTACGGTCCTGGTGGACTAGGGTCCTGGTGGACTACGGTCCTGGTGGACTACGGTCCTGGTGGACCAAGGGCCTGGTGGACTATGGTCCTGGTGGACCAAGGGTTTAGTGGACCACGGTCCTGGTGGATCAAGGGCCTGGTGGACCAATGGTTTAGTGGACCACGGTCCTGGTGGACCAAGGGCCTGGTGGACTAAGGTCCTGGTGAACCAAGGGCTTGGTGGACTACGGTCCTGGTGGACTACGGTCCTGGTGGACCAAGGGCCTGGTGGACTATGGTCCTGGTGGACCAAAGGTTTAGTGGACCACGGTCCTGGTGGATCAAGGGCCTGGTGGACCAAGGGTTTAGTGGACCACGGTCCTGGTGGATCAAGGGCCTGGTGGACCAAGGGTTTAGTGGACCACGGTCCTGGTGGATCAAGGGCCTGGTGGACCAAGGGTTTAGTGGACCACGGTCCTGGTGGACCAAGGGCCTGATGGACTAAGGTCCTGGTGAACCAAGGGCTTGGTGGACTACGATCCTGGTGGACTAGGGTCCTGGTGGACTACGGTCCTGGTGGACTACGGTCCTGGTGGACCAAGGGCCTGGTGGACTATGGTCCTGGTGGACCAAGGGCCTGGTGGACTATGGTCCTGGTGGACCAAGGGCCTGGTGGACTATGGTCCTGGTGGACCAAGGGCCTGGTGGACTAGGGTCCTGGTGGACTACGGTCCTGGTGGACTACGGTCCTGGTGGACCAAGGGCCTGGTGGACTATGGTCCTGGTGGACCAAGGGCCTGGTGGACCACGGTCCTGGTGGACCAAGGGCCTGATGGACTAAGGTCCTGGTGAACCAAGGGCTTGGTGGACTACGATCCTGGTGGACTAGGTTCCTGGTGGACTATGGTCCTGGTGGACTATGGTCCTCGTGGACTACGGTCCTGGTGGACTACGGTCCTGGTGGACTACGGTCCTGGTGGACCAAGGGCCTGGGTCTTCTCCATCTGGTCACTCCGCAGTTTGGAGAAGAAAACTGGACGTCTTTTCGGTTCGTACTGGAACCATTATCTTCATAATGGTCTATTATAGACCATTATCTTCATAATGGTCTATTATAGACCATTATCTTCATAATGGTCTATTATAGACCATTATCTTCATAATGGTCTATTATAGACCATTATCTTCATAATGGTCTATTATAGACCATTATCTTCATAATGGTCTATTATAGACCATTATCTTCATAATGGTCTATTATAGACCATTATCTTCATAATGGTCTATTATAGACCATTATCTTCATAATGGTCTATTATAGACCATTATCTTCATAATGGTCTATTATAGACCATTATCTTCATAATGGTCTATTATAGACCATTATCTTCATAATGGTTCAAGATGGATGAAAATAACGTTTGAAGTTTCCTTTGGAAATTGTGTTATTTCTGTATGTGTTGAGATGAATGATGATAATTGTCGGTGGTACTGAGGTATCTCTCAGGGTACCAGAGGTATTAATGTTCTCTACCATCACTACTACCATTACTGCTACCACTACTACCCTCACTACTACCACTACTACCCTCACTACTACCCTCACTACTACCACTACTACCATCACTACTACCACTACTACCCTCACTACTACCCTCACTACTACCACTACTACCATCACTACTACCACTACTACCATCACTACTACCCTCACTACTACCACTACTACCCTCACTACTACCACTACTACCCTCACTACTACCACTACTACCACTACTACCATCACTACTACCCTCACTACTACCACTACTACCCTCACTACTACCACTACTACCCTCACTACTACCACTACTACCCTCACTACTACCACTACTACCATCACTACTACCCTCACTACTACCACTACTACCCTCACTACTACCACTACTACCCTCACTACTACCACTACTACCATCACTACTACCACTACTACCATCACTACTACCCTCACTACTACCACTACTACCATCACTACTACCCTCACTACTACCACTACTACCCTCACTACTACCACTACTACCATCACTACTACCCTCACTACTACCACTACTACTATCACTACTACCCTCACTACTACCACTACTACCATCACTACTACCCTCACTACTACCACTACTACCACTACTACCATCACTACTACCATCACTACTGCCACTACTACCATCACTAGTACCCTCACTACTACCACTACTACCATCACTACTACCCTCACTACTACCACTACTACCCTCACTACTACTACTACTACCATCACTACTACTATCACTCTACCATCACTATTACTATCGCAATTACCATCGCTACTACTACCACCACTACCTTCACTACTACAACTTCTACTACCACTACTACCATCACTGTTACTATCACTACTACCATCACTACTACCATCACTACTACTACCACTACTACCATCACTACTACCATCAGTACCATCCTGGGAGGCTGACAATGACTCCATCCCCCACCCGTCCCTCCATCACTTGTCATTTCTGTCATTTACGCTCTCTTCATCACCCATCACCCCCGTCTTCACCATCACCGTCATCACCGTCTTCACCATCACTGTCATCACCGTCTTCACCATCACTGTCATCACCGTCTTCACCATCACCGTCATCACCATCATACTCACCACCATTACCCTCGTCACTTCCAACCGAATATTTACAAGTTTTACTTTCTATTTGTTATCACCTTGTGTTTCCCACTTGGTTCTTGCCTCACCTCACTATTCTCGCCTCATCTACCTTTTTATTCCAGTTTTTACCCTCGACATACCTTTCCCTATCCATGTTATTTCTTCTTTCCTCTTCTCATTCACTTTGTGCAGCAGAAGTTACAGTTTATATCGTAATTAGCGATAACTCACAGGACTTTACAGCTTTACATATAATAATAACAATAATAATAATAATAGTAATAATAATAATAATAATAATAAAAATAGTAATAATAATAATAATTGAGGTACCTTGTGGAAGTGACTCTGGTTTCACTGCCTCAACACCTGTATGTCTCCTATCCAGTTAAGAGGACACACCCTTCTGACGTCATCTCTTCTTTCAAGAGGGGGATTACCTTGATGCCGGCGAAAGGCTCTTGATCCTATGAATTGGAGATATTCCCCTTCTTTCATGATTCCCTACCCATTCCCTGTGTGTTTTATGACCCCCATAAGTTTAGAGCTTTCCACTGATAATTACAATACTAAGGTTAGGTTTTTCTCTCCCTCCTTCAGGACACAACGACGGGGCAGGACCTGCTGGATATCGTCTTCAGTCACCTCAACCTCATGGAGACAGCTTACTTCGGCCTCCGCTACCTCGACCCTTCCAACCAAACTGTAAGTCTTCCTTTATTCTTACCTTATTTTTAACGGCGAGCTGTAACAGCAATACACACACACACACACACACACACACACACACACACACACACACACACACACACACACACACACACACACACACACACACACACAAATGAAAGAGCTAAGCTTTATGTGGAGGCCCTAACAGACAACAACAGAGCCCAAGGAAAGCCGAGAAGGGAAAATGACAGGCCACTGAGCCCAAGTACATTAGCCAGTGAAACTGATGAAAGGAAACCTGCAGTGGAGGAAACCAAATTAAATGAGGGGATACACAGGGATATGCAGTGGGAGAATGAAAGGGTGAGGTCAGTCTTTGTGTATGGGCTCCAGGAAGTCGAAGGGGAAACATATGAAGCAAGAAAACAAGGGGAAAAAAAGCAATTGAAAGCATCATGAAAGCAATAGGAGAAGACGATATGACCCAGCTGGAAAATTTTCGGAGAATAGGGGGGTTTGTAAAAAAAAGAACCCGGCCAGTGAGAGTGACCTTCAAGGCAGAAGCGACTCGGACCAGGATCCTGCAGGAGAAAGCACGATTAAGGGACATGACGGCATACAGGAGGGTGTATCTCGACCGCGACAGAACACAAGAAGAAAGGCAGAAACTGAGAGAGATGATACAAAGGCGAAAGGAGGAAAGAGAGGGGATGGAGAAGACAGACAGGAGATCCCAGACCCAGGAAGAAGATCAAATACAGCCTCTCTCACAACTTCCTATAGAAGCCTCCCAACCAGGTCAACCCCAGTGCAACCAAACACTCTAAATCAAAACACCCATGCCACATCCATTGCCCCCACCCACTACATTACAAACTCCATCCCCACAGCAACAACCCGTAGTTCCTTACCAGGTCTCCCACTTCCCCAACCCCAATATACCTCCCAGACCACAGTCTTAGAAAAGAAGTTGAAGGTGTGGTATACAAATGCAGATGGAATAACAAACAAGTATGAGGAGTGGCACGAAAGAATCAAAGAGACATCCCCAGACATAATAGCACTCACAGAAACAAAACTCACCAGAATAATAACAGATTCAATCTTTCCATCCGGATATCAAATCCTCAGGAAAGACAGAGGGAGGAGAGGGGGAGGAGGAGTTGCACTGCTCATTAAAAACCAGTGGGGTTTTGAGAAAATGGAAGGAATGTATGGCACGGGCGAAAGGGACTACTTAGTAGGAACAATCCAGTCTGAGGGACATAAGGTGATAATTGCAGTAATGTACAACCCACCACAGAACTGCAGGAGGCCAAGAGAAGAATACGATGAGAGCAACAGAGCAATGATCGACACACTAGCCGTTGTGGCCAGGAGAGCACACATGGGGGGAGCAAAGTTACTAGTTATGGGTGATTTCAATCACAAGGAGATTGACTGGGAAAACCTGGAGCCCCATGGGGGTCCCGAAACATGGAGAGCCAAGATGATGGATGTGGTACTGGAAAACCTCATGCATCAACATGTTAGAGACACTACCAGAGAGAGAGGAGAGGATGAACCAGCAAGGTTGGACCTTGTATTCACCATGAGTAGTTCGGACATCGAGGGTATCATGTATGAAAGGCCCCTGGGAGCTAGGGATCATGTGGTTCTGTGCTTCGACTACATAGTTGAGCTCCAAGTGGAGAGAGTAGCAGGAATAGGCTGGGAAAAACCAAACTACAAAAGGGGGAACTACTCAGCATGAGGAACTTCCTTCAAGACATTCAGTGGGAGAGGGAACTGACAGGAAAACCAGTACAAGAAATGATGGACTATGTGGCAACAAAATGCAAGGAGGCAGAGGAGAGGTTTGTTCCCAAGGGAAACATAAATAATGGGAAGAACAGAACGAGTCCTTGGTTCACCCAAAGGTGTAGGGAGGCAAAAACTAGGTGTACTAGAGAATGGAAAAGGTACAGAAGACAGAGAACTCAGGAAAATAAAGAAATCAGCCGAAGAGCCAGAAACGAATATGCACAGATAAGAAGGGAGGCTCAGAGACAGTATGAAAATGACATAGCATCAAAAGTAAAGACTGACCCGAAGCTGTTGTACAGCCACATCAGGAGGAAAACAGCAGTCAAGGACCAGGTAATCAGACTGAGGAAGGGTGATGGGGAATTCACAAGAAACGACCGAGAGGTATGTCAGGAGCTCAACACAAGATTTAAAGAGGTATTTACAGTGGAAACCAGTAGGACTCCAAGAAATCAGAACAGGGGGGCACACCAGCAAGTGCTGGATGAGGTACATATAACCAAGGAGGAGGTGGAGAAGCTGCTATGCGAACTTGACACCTCAAAGGCGGTGGGACCAGACAACATCTCTCCATGGGTCCTTAAAGAGGGAGCAGAAATATTGTGTGAGCCATTAACAAAGATCTTCAACACATCATTTGAAACTGGGCAACTCCCTGAGGTATGAAAAATGGCAAATGTAGTCCCAATTTTTTAAAAGGGAGACAGACATGAGGCACTAAACTACAGACCTGTATCACTAACGTGTATAGTATGCAAGATCATGGAGAAGATCATCAGGAGGAGAGTGGTGGGGCACCTGGAAAGAAACAAGTGTATAATTGACAACCAGCACGGTTTCAGGGAAGGAAAATCCTGTGTCACAAACCTACTAGAGTTTTATGACAAAGTGACAGAAGTAAGAGAAGAGAGAGAGGGGTGGATCGACTGCATATTTTTGGACTGCAAGAAGGCCTTCGACACAGTTCCTGTTACTGCAAAAGCTAGAGGACCAGGCACACATAACAGGAAAGGCACTGCAATGGATCAGAGAATATCTGACAGGGAGGCAACAACGAGTCATGGCACGCGACGAGGTGTCAGAGTGGGCGCCTGTGACAAGCGGGGTTCCACAGGGGTCAGTCCTAGGACCTGTGCTGTTCTTGGTATATGTGAACGACATAACGGAAGGGATAGACTCAGAAGTGCCCTTGTTTGCAGACGATGTGAAGTTAATGAGAAGAATCAAATCGGACGAGGATCAGGCAGGACTACAAAGAGACCTGGACAGGCTATAAGCCTGGTCCAGCAACTGGCTCCTTGAATTTAACCCTGCCAAATGCAAAGTCATAAAGATTGGGGAAGGGCAAAGAAGACCGCAGACACAATATAGTTTAGAGATCTAGGCCAAAGACTGCAAACCTCACTCAAGGAAAATATCTGGGGGTGAGTATAACACCGAGCATATCTCCTGAGGCGCACGTCAATCAGATAACTGCTGCAGCATACGGGCGCCTGGCAAACCTACGGATAGCGTTCCGATACCTCAGTAAGGATTCGTTTAAGACTCTGTATACCATCTACGTCAGGCCCATACTGGAGTATGCAGCACCAGTTTGGAATCCACACCTAGTCAAGCACGTCAAGAAATTAGAGAAAGTGCAAAGGTTTGCAACAAGACTAGTCCCAGAGCTACGGGGATTGTCCTATGAAGAAAGGTTGAGGGAAATCGGCCTGACGACACTGGAGGACAGGAGGGTCAGGGGAGACATGATAACGACATATAAAATACTGCGCGGAATAGACGAGGTGGACAAAGACGGGATGTTCCAGAGATGGGACACAGACACAAGAGGTCACAATTGGAAGTTGAAGACTCAGATGAATCAAAGGGATGTTAGGAAGTATTTCTTCAGTCATAGAGTAGTCGGGCCATGGAATAGCCTAGAAAGTGATGTAGTGGAGGCAGGAACCATACATAGTTTTAAGGCGAGGTATGATAGAGATCATGGGGCAGGGAGAGAGAGGACCTAGTAGCAATCAGCGAAGAGGCGGGGCCAGGAGCTGTGACTCGACCCCTGCAACCACAAATAGGTGAGTACAAATAGGTGAGTACACACACACATACACATATACACACACACACACACACACACACACACACACACACACACACACACACACACACACACACACACACACACACACACACACTATATATATATATATCTTCTTCTTCTTTCAACGTACCAGCCGTATCCCACTGAGGTGGGGTGGCCCAAAAGAAAAAACTGAAGTTTCTCCTTTTAAATTTAGTAATATATACAGGAGAAGGGGTTACTAGCCCCTTGCTCCCGGCATTTTAGTCGCCTCTTACGACAAGCATGGCTTACAGAGGAAGAATTCTGTTCCACTTCCCCATGGAGATAAGAGGAAATAAACAAGAACAAGAATTAGAAAGAAAATAGAAGAAAACCCAGAGGGGTGTGTATATATATGCTTGTACATGTATGTGTAGTGTGACCTAAGTGTAAGTAGAAGTAGCAAGACTTACCTGTAATCTTGCATATTTATGAGACAGACAAAAGACACCAGCAACCCTACCATCATGTAAAACGATTACAGGCTTTCGTTTTACACTCACTTGGCAGGACGGTAGTACCTCCCTGGGCGGTTGCTGTCTACCAACCTACTACCTATAAATATATATATATATATATATATATATATATATATATATATATATATATATATATATATATATATATATATATCTTTCTTTCAACACACCAGCCGTATCCCACTGAGGCGGGGTGGCCGAAAAGGAAAAACTAAAGTTTCTCCTTTTACATTTAGTAATATATACAGGAGAAGAGGTTACTAGCCCCTTGCTCCCGGCATTTTAGTCGCCTCTTACAACACGCATGGCTTACGGAGGAAGAATTCTGTTCCACTTCCCCATGGAGATAAGAGGAAATAAACAAGAATAAGAACTAGAAAGAAAATAGAAGAAAACCCAGAGGGATGTGTGTATATATGTGCTTGTACATGTATGCGTAGTGTGACCTAAGTGTAAGTAGAAGTAGCAAGACATACCTGAAATCTTGCATGTTCATGAGACAGAAAAAAAGGACACCAGCAATCCTACCATCATGTAAAACAATTACAGGCTTTCGTTTTACACTCACTTGGCAGGACGGTAGTACCTCCCTGGGTGGTTGCTGTCTACCAACCTACTACCTATAAATA